CAAGAAATGAAATTATGACGTTGTAATTAGAAAATTAGAAATATGAAAATGTAAAATATGAGAAAATGAAAAAAATTATTAATAAAATATTGTAATAAAACAATAAACGGTTTTAAACGAACGAAATTAAACAAAATTATGAAAATAAGTAAATAAAATTGTGTAGAAACGTATAATAAAACAATTCAGTTAGACGCATAATGACACATAATGATAATAAATACGAATTAAAACAGCTTCGTGTTGCCGAAATCCTTATTAAAAAATTAATTAATGCAAAATGGTGAAAAATATTTAATGATATTTGCATCAAAGAAAACCTCGTTCCTAAATATATATATATATATTTATTTATATATATATATTAATTATGTATGTAAATATATATATAAGTATATATAAGTATATGTGAGTAAATCAGTCATGATGAAAAAGTATTTGATGTTAAACACATGGATAAATATATATATATCCATGGTTAAACATTACCATACGCGCACTTTGTGATCCTGCTGTTTTGGCCTGGGAATTTATTTCAGATTGTTTTAATTTTTATTTTATTTTATTTTATTATTTATATAAATTAAAGTTTATCTGAAAGTATTTCATCGTTTTGTAGCTTCCAAAGTTCCTTTCATTATTTGTTCTATACTTTTTTATTTTCAAGCGAAAAGTGCTGCAAACCATGGCATCCTGCATATTAGGAATGATCATTTTGTTTAAAAATGATCAAAACTGAAATATTATAAAATACAACTTGTTTGAATTAAGAGTTTAATTAATTAATTAAAGTTACTGTTACTTTCACGTAAAAAATGGCGTTTAATTTTCTGGCGAACGTATTTTCAATAATGCGTAATTAATTTTCAATAGTCTTATCTTGCAAATAATCAGACAAAAAATGTCTGCCATTGTCATGTCAACCAGCAGTCAGTGCAACCACAACAACAACGGTGACGAAGCAGACGACAAAACGATCAGCTCCACAACGCCAGACGACCACAAAAACAATGGCGCCAATTTTAATTTTATGGATTTTACAGATACAGTTGACAGTCTGGTGAACACTCGCCTGCCATTTTTTAGGCCTATTTTGAATCGCTCCAGACAGAGGTGTTATGAAAGTAAATCTTACAGTTCCCAAGCCCTGCTTGAAATGCATAGGTTGGTGGGTGGGTGAGACATTTCTATTTCTCTTTCAGTTTCTTGGTATTGATTATTGAATTAAAAAGTAATTTTTTGTAATCATTTCAACTGCTCATCAACATCAAACATTAATAAATAAATTATTTGTTAGTATTTTAAAAATTTTATTTTTTTTAACTGGAATAATATTTCTGTGTTTTAATTCTTTTAAAAGATTTTTCCAATCCGGTCGATTTTGTGATGTCATTTTAAATACAATGGAATCTCCAACAAGCATCCCATGCCATAGATTGGTCCTCGCAGCCAGTTCCATGTACTTTGATCGAATGTTTGCTGGAAATATGGCAGAATCTCACTCACAAGAAATAAATCTTAGAAACATTAATGGTACTTTCTTAAATCTTTCAAACAAATTATAAATTTATTCTCATTTGAATCTTTTTTAAAAAAATTTTCTAAATATTAAAATTTTTGTTTCAAAAACCAGGGAGCACCTTGAAACAGTTGATTAAATATGCGTACACTTCTGAAATAATAATCGACAGCAATACAGTTCTTGACATGTTTGAGGCTGCTGACATGTTCCAGTTTGCTGAATTGAGAATGTTCTGTCAGGATTTCCTACTTGACGAAGTCGGTGATGTCTAATGATATTATATGATATCTAATGATACTAAATGATACTTAATGATACTGATTCTGTTATGATCAATGTTTGTTAAATAATAAGAACCATAATTTACTTTTACTTGCAATGCAAATCAGGTGACAGCACAGAATTGCCTGTCCTTCATGTTGTATGCAGATGTTTTCTCGAGCAAGTCTCTCTATGATAGGTCCCTCTCTGTGGCTGCCAAGAAATTTGACATGATCAGACTTGAAAAAGAGTTCTTGCTCCTCCCCTATGATCATGTTAAGAGGTTGTTCAGGATTTTGGAATTTGGTTTTTGTTTTTAAATGTAATTATTATAAATTTGTAATATTAATCTCGTACATTGGTCATCATCATCCTAATCATTATCTTAATCATCATCGTCATCATCTTATCATCACTAGCCTCATCGTCGTCATCCTCATCATTATATAATCATCATCGTCGTCATCATCATCATCTTATCATCATTAGCACCATCATCGTCGTCATCATCATCATTATCTTAATCATCATCGTTGTCGTCATCATCAATAGCGTCACCATTATCTTATTCATCATCGTCATCATTGTCGCCATCGTCATCGTCGTCATCATCGTCATTGACGTCATCATCGTCATCCCATGGCAGATTACTAATGGAAGACAATATAGAGATTGACTATGAGGAGTATGTCTACGAAGCCTTCAAGATGTGGATGGCTCATGACTTTGAGAACAGGTCACTTAATTAAAACGCTCTAAAAATCAACATTTAATATAATAATTATGATACTATACCATAATATTATAATAAATACTATTTAATATATTAATCATAATACATTAACTACAACCATTATATTAATACTTAATTACTTGATCGATAATATTCAACCAGGCAGCGATACTTGGTTGATTTGTTTCAATCGATTCGATTGAACTTTGTCTCTCGATGGTACCTAATCGAGGTTATCAGTAAGGACCCAGTTATCAGCACATCCCTGGAATGTACGGCTATCGTTCAGAGGTGAGGAGGTATCAATAGTTGATTATAGTGGTTTTTTAAACAATGTGATGACAACTGTGAAGTGGAATGCTTTGATTACACCAATTTGATTGGTAATAATGATGGTAATACGGCTGTTAACAATTGCTGTGCTAATATTAGTGGAGTTGATTTTCAATGGTAGATAACAAATTTTCAGAGCTAAGGACCAGCTGTTGGCTTTTGGGCACACGTACGAAACAAGTTGGCAGTTGCCTCCATCCAGAAAAAGTACCGGGCTGACGTGGAAGATTGTTTACATCAACACCTACGATCCATTTCCCGATGAATCAGAGGTAGGTAGGGATGGGTGGGTGGAAGTTTAAAATCAATCTTCGTTTTGCATCCAGAGACCCGGTTTCCCGAGGTAATCATCAAAAGATGGTTCAATTTATATTTGTGTTATATTTGTAATAAACTTGTGTTATCTCAGTTCAGTGTGATTTTGATTCATCATCACTCCACATCATCATCATCATCACTCCATATCATCATCGTCATCACTCCACATCACCATCATCATCATCACTCCACATCATCATCATCATCACTCCACATCATCATCATCATCATCACTCCACATCATCATCATCATCACTCCACATCATCATCCTCATCATCACTCCACATCATCATCATCACTCCACATCATCATCATCATCACTCCACATCATCATCATCATCACTCCACATCATCATCACTCCACATCATCATCATAATCACTCCACATCATCATTATCATCACTCCACATCATCATCATAATCACTCCACATCATCATCATCATCACTCCACATCATCATCATAATCACTCCACATCATCATCATAATCACTCCACATCATCATCATCATCACTCCACAACGTCATCATCATCAATCCACGTCATTTATACTTTGTGGTGTAGGTATTTTTATTTGACGTCATCAACAAATCCTGGAGCAGCACAAACAGGCCATGCCCACTGGCTTCTGAATTGTCTTCATGTTGTCGTGTCAACAATTCGCTGCTGGTCGTGGGGGGCTGGACCAACAAATCAGGTTGGGTACTTTTTTATCTGTCTGGCTGTCTGTCTTTCTGTCTAGCTGGCTTTCTTTCTTTCTGCATGTCTGGCTTTTTTCTGTCTACCTGTCTTTGTCTGTCTGCTTAAGTGATTATTTGCTTGTCTACCAATGCGTCGTTGTTCGTGTGTCCCTATCTTTGTGTATGTTTTTTGTTCTGTTGTTATCTTGATATATTATCTTGATATATTATCTTGATATAATATCTTGGCATTTTCTTCTCTTGCCTTGGTTGTGGATAATTTAATCATTAATTTAATTTTGTTCTTTGTGTAAATTTTTCTCAATTATTTTCATTTGAATTGTCGTTTATTTGTTCTTACGGATTTTGTTTCGTCAGGCACTAAATCTATGAACATGCGAGGTGCCGTTAATGTTATTCACGAATTTAAGGTTATTATTTGATTGGCTGGCTGATTGGTCTTTAATTAATCGTTTGGTTAAGCTTTAACTAATTGAATTAATCAATTGGTTAGCTGTTCACATGATCAGCTAACCAATCACATCTGATTGGCTGTTCATTTTCGGTTGATTCCCTGTTTAAAGGTTTATTTAATATCGGCTGTTTATTAATTTGCTGAAGGTGATGTCAATATTCCCAACTCTCTGGTACGTTGGTTCTCATGCGTTGGACATTTACAGGTGTCTATTTTGTCTGTTGATGTTGTTTGTGTTGCTCCTATTCATGCGATACACTCAACAAGAACAGCAACAACAACAACAACAGTAGCAGCATAACAACAAAGACTAAATCACATTACAACAACAACTACAATATAAGTAGCAGAATAACAACAAAAACTATATCACAACAACAAAAGTTGTAACATAACAACAACAACAACAATACAACTAGCAACATAACAACGAAAACAACGAAAACAAAATCACAACAACCACAATATAAAAACATCCAAACAATGAATCATATGATTTCTTTAATATCTTGCATTGCCTCTCCAGATATCTCCACTCAACAGTCACCGTTGATAATTCTGTTTACATACTCGGAGGATTCGATGAAACTCAAAGCCTGCAAGCCACCGTGCATGTTGTTGACGTCAGCAGTGGCTACAAACTTGAGGTGAGGACGATGAAGATGATAAAGATGATGAAGATGATGATGTAAATGGCGGTGATGGCGGTGAAGAGGAGGATGATGAGGACGTTAATAGCGATGTAGTGATGTCAGGAAAGAACTGATGACACTAATGGTACACACATTCGCACAAACAGAACACACATACACACACAACATACACACACATTTATGAATACACCACACACACACACTCACACACACACACACGCCACTAATGGTACACACATTCACACAAACTGCACATATATACACACACACAACACACACACACTTACGAATAACGAATACACCACACACACACACACACACACACACACACACACACACACACACACACACACACACACACACACACACACACACGTTCGAACCCACTCCACCCTAGGTCTGTCCGAGAATGATCCACCCCTCCTACAGACAGTGCTGCGTCATACACCAGGGCAGACTTCTACTCGCCTTTGGAGGCTTCAACAGATCCGGTCGACCGCTATTCATAGTTCAAGTCTACAACATTCCTGAAAGGACATGGTCAGAATTTCCGCTGAAGTTCAACATAGATTGTAGTAGCGGCTGTAGTAGTAGCGGCAGTGGCAGCAACATTAGTAGTAACGGTAGTAACGTTCGTAGTAGTACTGGCAGTAGTTGTAGTAACGTTCGTTGCAGGTGTTTAAGCAGTAATGCTCTTGGCAATGATAGAAGTAGTATTAGCCCTGTCATTGGTTGTTGTGGTGGTAGTTGTAGTAGGGCTATTGATAGTAATAGTGTTAGTATTGGTAATAATAATAATAATAATAATAATAATAACAGTTGTTGTAATAGTTGTAGTTGGGTTGGTAGCGTCTGTGGAGTCGATTTGGAGTTGAAAGATCATATAAATAGGAAGAGAAGCGACGGGATGAATGTTTTTGTGAGAAACAACAACAACAACACTAATAACAACAACAACAACAACAATAGTTGTAGTAATAATAATAATAATAACAATAACAATAATAATAATATTTATAATAACAATAATAACGAAAGTATTTGCATTTGCAATTCTGATGTGTACAATAACGGATTTGATGATTGCTATACTGACAGTACTGACAGTCTGGACAGTAGATTCAGTAATTCTGACCTTTTCTCCGACTGTAGTGGTAGTGACCTAGATGTAAATGATAATAACATAGATGTCAATAATGGTAACATAGATAGCAATAATGGTAACATAGATAGCAACAACAGTAACATAGATAATAACAACGCCACCACAGATAGTAGTAACAGTAATAATAACATGGATAGTTACAAAGTATGTAACAATGTTGTAATTATGTGTGAAGATAAAATAGACATAGTTTGCTATTACGCATGCGAAGTTGGCTGCTGGGTGTATCTTGCTTGCGGTCTGGCTGTCCTGGATATTGGTTAGTGGTGGTTGTGACGTCATCGTGATTATGGTGGATGTGATGATGATGATGGTTGTGAGGACGATGCTATCATCATCAGTATTAATAATTATGGTAGTACAGCGATTGATGATTGTAAAGATGATGATGATGGCCACGACGACGATGATGATGATGGGTTATTGTGTGACGATAATTTAGAGGAAAACCCGACGTGCAACCAGAAGATGATGAGGAGGAGACTGGATGCCATCCTCAAGTACTGCCCGAGAAGTTTTACAATTGTTGAGGTTTTCGTTGTTCTCAGCATTCTTTTTTTTTTGAAGCTATGTGCTGTTTTTTATCTTAACTTTGGTTGGGCATGTTTGTTGGCTAGCTGCTGTGTACGTAGGAGAATGTAGTAGTTGTTGTTGTTGTTGATTGATTGGCAGGTTCACAAGATTGCCGAGCCCAGAGAAGGTTCCTTCTGCATCACTTTGTTACACGACAAAATATTTGTAACTGGTGGCATGAGGAGACAGCAACAGCATCAACAACAACATCAACAACAACATCAACAACAACATCAACATCATCAACAGCACATGTCAGATGAACAGCAGATGGACCAATGTGAACAGCTGTGCACATCCGAGCAGCAACAACAGCAGCGGCATCTTCGGCTGCCACATCCTAGTTATCAACAGCAGCTGTACCAACAGCAGCAGCAGCATCAGGAGCACGACCTTCACCCATGCAACGTCATCGAATGTTTCAACACGACCACGTCAAGTTGGGAGGTGGCGGGGTTCGCCAGGGAGGGCAAGGGCTCATTGAGTCTCTGCACCACCATCAATGCCATGCATGAAAACTTTGGAATCTAAATTTAACATCATCGTCGTCGTCGTCTTAACAGCTTATTTTATAACATTCAATCGTATTATATGACATTTTATTATGCTTTTCAAACACATTGGTTGAAAAGGAACAGTCGCAGGTTCGAAACCCAGTGAAATCGTTTTAATTTTTTCTCTAAGTTTTTTAACAATTTTCAAAATGGACTATTGCTTCACTGTTTTTTTTTATTAATTTCTTTAGTTTTTATAACTACTGCAGTTTGTTAGCACCAACAATTTATTAATTTTTTCTTACTTTGAAGTATTAGTTGTTTTATATTTAGCAAGCAGGCGTTGCAATTGAATTCAAACGATTTCTTTTATTGCTTCCATGCAACAGATTCGATTTCTTTCAAAGAGTAAGGTTTTTACAGACTTTAAAATTAACTCAACTCGTTAACTTTTAATTTATTCAGCTAGGTTTGTACAAATTTTTGATTTAATTTTCCAGTTTTATGTCATCCCACCATCTCACTTTCCGTCAACCATTCATTGTCTTATTAGATTTCAAACATATAGTTTTATGCTCATTCAATTTATCATTAATTTGTTGCT